CTCCTGCCTGCCCCTCCACGCCACTGCCCCCTCCACGCCACTGCCCCTCCCCATGCCACTGCTCCTCCCCACGCCACTGCCCCTCCCCACACCTCTCCCTTCATGGTCCTCCCTCCATCTCGATTTAGCTCCAGCTTGTGCTGAAGGCGATTGGCAACGCGGGCTTGGCGGCCCTGGCTCTCACCCCTACGCTGAGTGCCTGCGCATCTCTGAGAAGCAGCGCCCCTGAGATCCGACTGGGGGCCATCCAGGCCTTCCGGAGGGTCCTCTGCTCTGCAGATGTGAGCCCTTGTGTGCTGTTTCACTGGGTTGGGGTTGGGTGGTGGTAGTTCTCAAACCACAGTTTACTAAGTCACTTCTTCAATTGTTCATTCATTTATCATGTATTTAATGAGCACCTACTGTGGGCTGGGTACTAGTGTGAACAGGTATCTAGGTCTAAGCCTGTGTGTAGTGTGGGAAGCAGATGATTTATCAAATACACAAACAACCATATGATTACCACTGCCATCTGTGCCCCCCTGTAGTACAGGGTTTGTCAGACCATGGGCCATGGGTCACTTCCTGGCCCTTTGTCTGTTTTTGTCAACAAAGTTTTATTGGAACACACCCATACCCACTCATTTATGTTCTGTTTATGGCTGCTTTCCTGCTCCACCTGCAGTCAACTCATTGCAAGAGACCGCATGGCCTGCAGAGTCTGAAAGAGTTCTCTGTCCCTTTATAGAAAAAGTTTGCTAATCCCTGGGCCAGTACCTCCCTTCTTACTCAAAGTCGCAGTCCCTTCATTGACCTCCCAGGTCCTGAGGGATCTGACCTCTGGACCTCACCTGCTCTTTTCACCTCCCATCCCTCCTCCCCAGCACACTGCCCTTTCTGTTCTTCTTTAAACACTTGTGACCCTCTCTTGCCCCAGGCGCTTTGCACATGCTGTCCCCTTTCCTGGTACACTTTTCTCCCAGATGTCTCCAGGCCTTTCTTTTTTACCTCCCACAGGTCTTAGCTTAAAAGTCACTTTCACCCTGTTTCCCCATTTCATTTTTCCCTCCATAGGGTTTATTACCATCTAACTTTCTTTTTTTTTTTTTTGAGATGGAGTCTCACTCTCTCACCCAGGCTGGAGTGCAGTGGCGCTATCTCTGCTCATTGCAAGCTCCGCCTCCCGGGTTCACGCCATTATCCTGCCTCAGCCTCCCGAGTAGCTGGGACTACAGGCATCCACCACCATGCCTGGCTAATTTTTTTGTGTTTAGTAGAGATGGGATTTCACCGTGTTAGCCAGGATGGTCTCGATCTCCTGACCTTGTGGCCCTCCCGTCTCGGCCTCCCAAAGTGCTGGGGTTACAGGCATGAACCACCGTGCCCGGCCACTACCTAACTTTTTATATAGTTCACATGCTAATCTCATTGACTGTCTCTCTGCACTAGGATAACAGCTTCAGGTGGACAGGAGCTGGGCTGGTCTTGTTTATGGCTGTCACCTAGCACAGTGCTGGGTGCACAGTTGCTGCTTAGTTAATATTTATTGCATGGATGGAAGGGTGGGTGGATGGATGATGGGTGGGTGGATGGGTGAATGGATAGATGGATGGGTGGGTGGGTGGATGGAATGATGGGTGGGTGGCTGGTTGGCTGTGGAGGAAGCCAGTAGGTACTGAAGGAGTCACAATGTGGGGAGGTGGCTTGCTTAGGAAAGGGCCCAGGAAGGCCGAGACATTTAAAGACCTCCTGTGTGGCAAGACACTGTGCTGTTTTTGTAAATAGTTTTATTGGAATGTAGCCATGCCCATTTGTTGGGGAATCGATGAGGCTCTCGAGGCTGGGGCTGGTAGAGACTGGGAATTAGGCATGGTCAGTGAACCCCTGCTACCTCCCACAACTGAGTGTGTGTGTGTGTCGGGGAAGCCTCCCACAGTGGGGACATCAGGACAGCTGGGGCTAGGCGGCAGGTCCACCTGCTGGAGCCAGGGACATCATACTCCTGGGTGGAGATAGGTGGGCCTTGGGTGATGGCCTTCCTTCTGCCCGAGCCAGCGATCGGTGCTCTCCCATCTGTACCAATCCCCGGAGGAGGATGCTGAGATCCGTATCAATGCCTACCTGGCCCTGATGAGATGCCCTAGTGAGGAGGTGTTTGCCCAGGTGCGGCGCACCCAGGCAGGCGAGCTGTCCACCCAGGGTGAGCCATGGGTGTGTGTGTGGGAGGGGTGTGGGCAGAGGTGGGTCTGGGAGGGCACCTCCTGGAGAGTGCAGGGGGTTTGAGAGCATCCTCTCCTTCCACTCCTCTGGTATCCTCCTGTCTTCTTGTTCCCCTGTTTCTCTACCATACTGTCTTGATAAGGGGCTGTATATTCTTCCCTCCCCCACATGGCAATTCTAGTCCCCATTCTGCTGTTGAATGACTTTGGAGAAGTTGCTTCTCTTCTCTGGTCCTCAGTTTCCTCATCTGTAAAATGGGATAGGAATCAGTCCTCTTTTAGCTCTGGCCAAATCACGACACAGTATCCTGAAGAGAGACCTAAGATGGAAGAGGGATGGCATCGGAAAATCTCAGATCCCTTCTGGAGTGAGACAATTCCCTTTATACAGGCACCTGAACCCACAGATGTAAATTCAAAGAAAATAAGTTCAACTGATGGTTGAAAAAATTTCTATAATGCACAGTGGGGTGAGAGCCTGGAGCCCGAGAGCCCAGGTTCAAATCCCAGCTTCACCACTTCCTTCCTGTATGCCTTTAGACAAGTAAGTAAACCTTTTTGAGGCTCTATTTCTGTACCTGTATATTTTAGGTACAGATAAAATCTACAATAGGGATAATGCTAGTACCTCCTTCATAGAGTGTTGCAAGCATAAAATGAGTTAATACACAAAGACATTTAGAATGCATAGTGTGTCATATGTATGACTGTTGCTTTTAATGTTGTTATCACTACTGCTATTATTAATGCAGTATAGCTAGATGATCAAAATGTTAAAGCATAGGCAAGGGACAAATGGAAAATTAGTCTTCCTTCCTCTTCCCCCCAATATCTTCCCGTGTCCTGAAGATACATAATGTGAGCAATTCTCCTGTACATGTAATACATACATAAACATACACGTGTATCTCCTTAACAGTAGCATCTCAGGATCATGTTCTACTTGTTATTGTGCTTTTGTGCTTTGTTTTTGTTTGTTTGTTTTTGTTTTTGTTATTTTTGAGATGGAATCTCGCTCTGTTGCCCAGGCTGGAGTGTGATGGCGTGATCTTGGCTCACTGCAAGCTCCACCTTGTAGGTTCACACCATTCTCCTTCCTCAGCCTCCCAAGCAGCTGGGACTGCAGGTGCCTGCCACCA